TAATAATCGAATTAGACATCTACGTTCAATACCTTTTATCTGTTTCATCACGACAAAAATTATCCCTCATAGAATACTCTGGCGTTTGTTTTCTCTCCTGAATGGGAAATGCTCGTTGATAATACGCGTAAGCCATCAGTATCGTTTTTATCGTCGTAGCTTTCTATTCAATCGTATTCCGGGTGACTCGTCCTCTGTTGTATCCCATCTTATATACTTAAGTGCATCCTCTCCCTGAACGTATGTATGATATGGAAGAGATTCATGGCATTTGGCCTATACATAGTTTCGTTTGATCTAGCCACTACATACCAAGTGGAATCTGTTTCACCTTGAGTTCGTTGCTGAATGTTGGTCTGGCTAAGACGAAAGCTTACCGACGCACGAAAGTGCATGGTTAATGGTTGTAAGAACTGAACTGAACTGAACTGAGCTGAACCGGAATTTAGTGATATTCAATCCCGGTGCTGTTGTGTAATTCAGTTTGTTTGTTGAAGTGCTGCCAACCGTTTGAACAGAGTTAAGCGCCTATATAAATTATGGTAAACTGGAGCACTGCCGAAACTCATTTTTAGTGTGTCCCTTGTTCACCTTCGGATTCACAAACCCCCCTTGTGCGCCCAGAAGAAATTTGTGCAAGCACTTAATCTCCTCTGGCCCACTTCAGCCATTTCTCATGAGTTCGGTTGAGTGGTTGAACGAGGTCGAATGTGCCGTGGACTATTTAAGAAACATGATGTCACTTTGGCTCAGTGGTAACACTGAGAACACCGATTCACAAATCAACAAAGGTTTCCCTATAGGTTCACCTGTTCTCACTTCCCCACTACTCAAAATTTAGCAACCCGGTATTGGTTGACGGAACATTTCAGATGGAGCATTTTAAATAACACACATTCCACACTTAGCATGCCTTATTAGGCTATATTAGGATTCCGTTGTATACGGCACACCGTTTTGTTTGCAGAATAAGGTGAAGTTCCCTTCCATGTTGCTCTATCTACATCACTTTGTTGCCCCTAACATTCTTCATGCGTCATCACTCTGTAGCAGAATTACACGTGCATGGCGGCATGTGGTCGATTCCGATAAAGGTTGATTTAGTTTGTTACACTACCACTG